TCACGAAAAGCAACGCTGGAACCAAAAGACCAGAATTCCCCTCAAGGATCGAGTACGGATAGAGATGTATTGAGAAAACAGAAAGGTATATTAGGAAAGAGAAAGGTGAATTGGGGAGCAAGAAGGTCAAGTATTTTGAGACAAATTTGAATGTTAAGACCATCTATTTTGGAACAAAGAGAGTAATGTACTTGCCCATAAAATAAAGACAGCTTTAATATTTTTTTTCGCGACCGTACCTTAGCACGAAAGACAGCTTTATTTATTGAAGGAGAGATCACTGCTAGTGGTAGCTAGCACTGGCACACGTAGCAGTGCCACATCGCATTGCTGTGTCCCAAACACTACACCGTAGTAGTACCACCCTAGCAGCTAGAAAAGACAAGTTGAGGCCTGCAATCAATCAATAATCCGGCCTATGCACGCCTATGCTATGATGTGCACCATCGAACCCGGCCTTCCGCTGCCTCACTCTGTCGTTTGCAATTGCAACAAATAAAACAGATGGCGTCAGGCGTGCATGTACTATCTGCACTATAGTGTCTTGACTGCGCTGCTGGTTCGATCTGGTGCTGCAGGGGCCGGCGTGGCGAGCAGAATGGGGCAAGAATGGCCATGGCAGGCCGGTCGGTCGGCAGCGAGCTGCATGCACTGCCCGGCCTCAGGCTGGACGGGAACGAGAGATCTTGGCGCGAACAGAGCCCGGCCGCCTGCTTCTCCCGGAATTGGGAATGGCAGCCTTGCTCGCCCACGCCCCTGAGCAGTAGCAGGCACAGTGACGACGACCATGCTGATCCGTGAAGCCTGCCTGCCTGTCCACCGTCTTTACGACGATCGACTACACGCGCGTACTCACCCGAGTACCCGACCACACGGTTAATAATCCGCTATACATACCACGGGCAGAGCAGGCAAGGCACTGGGGCAACGAGACACTGTTGCAGCGCCGCGTGCATGATCGGTCGTCCTCCGGGCTAGCTAGCTAGCTCGCTCCTGCAGTGTCATAGTGGTACTGTCACTGTTTGGGAATGGACTGGGAAGACTGCAACGTACGGTACGGTGGTAGTGAAATACTGAAATATATATCGAACTAGCAGCTAACTGCCCCCTTTGTAATACATGAACATGAAATTGTATATATAGTTTTCAAAAAATGAATTAGTCATTTTGGAAAAAAAATGTAATTAGCAGAACTAGAGAGTGGATGCAGAGACCCTTTAGTGGCGTCGTGGTGAAATGGAGATATTATTCATGGTTGATAACACCAGCAAGTCGCAAAGCTCGTAGTTTCACAACCAACATTTGTGATAAGAACCATGAGTAATGAGCATTTTCACTCTCTGGTTTCTAAGAATGGTACCCCTTGGTATCACAACCGCATGATTACTCTCGAATAAGAAACCGGTACTAGCAGCAAGCAACGTCTCTCTAGCTAGAGAAGGATATATTGACTTGAAATCTGCTAACAAAATCTTAAAAATGTTGCATAGCTCTACTAATACTACTCATTAGTTTTAGTAATCCTAAAGATTATAGGTAAAAAAACTCCTCAACTAAGGTAACAAAAGCTCAATTAGAAATAAAATATATCTCCCTATTGTGTTTTCCTCAAGTTATATCTCTTGATTATATAATTCTATGTGGCTAGATAAAATAAATACGAAGGGAGCCATTGGATTTATGAACAATGTCATTTTTTATCTTAAATTTAGACAATTAGCACTAGTCGGAGATGAAGAAAAGAAAGAGATTCTAATTTTTAAGCCAACAATAAGGTTAATAATTTTTAAGCCAACATCAATGTCTGGCACTATTATCCTAATTTTTTTAACTCCTGTTTTATTTCATGTACCAGATTCCTTTTGTTAATCAGACAATAGTTTTTTTTTTCATTGTGACTATAGAAACAAAATTGTGAATTTTCTCTTTATGAGCTATCCTTTAATTATACTAGTTGACTGTATAAGATTGTTGTCTAAAATCATCTCAAAATTTAGACAGCTAAAATATGACAACTCCCAATTTTTTCGACATTTGGTGGATTCGTCCCTCTATATCTGAATCCTGGCTCTGCCCCTGCTCCAATGTGAAAACATAAAAATCATATTACCTTCTCCAAACCAAGCAAAATAAAAGACACGCGTCTGAAAATTACCCAACTCGCTCGACCAACCATACAAGAAATATTGCCACAATTTCACGCGAATAGTGCACACAGTCCTACACCCACGGCCCCACCATCACCGATGGTTTGGTTTCATTTTGTTTCCCATCAATGTCGTGGGAGGACTATACTACCATCATCCTAGAAAAAAAAATGAGGTTTCTGGATCACCATGAGTCAAACTATATTAGGTTTGACTAAATCTATAAGATATAGTATCAACATTCATGACACCAAACACATGTATACTATAAAAATATATCTTATAACAAATCTAACGATGCTTATGTAGTAGTCTAATACATATTGATATTTTTTATATAAATTTAGCTAAATTTTAGATTCTTTGATGTAACACTGTACGGTACTAGAATTATATCTTTTTCTTTATTTTGCACGGAGGTAGCAGATGCCATTCCGCTTCCGCCCATGGACGAGTGTACACTACTACTCCTTCCCCAATCAGACATCACATCAGGGTAGGGGTTGGCCAGGAGAGTCCCCGCCTCCCCGGCGCCCTCGCAGTCGCAGACTCGCTCGCAGGCATCTGGGCCTTCTTTACATGCCATCCAAATTCTAAGTTTTTTTACTCTCTCTATATCACATCAATTTTTAGTCGTTTATATGGAGTATTAAATGTAGGTAAAAAAATAACTAATTACACAGTTTAGTTGAAAATCATGAGATGAATCTTTTAAGCCTAGTTGGTCCACGATTAGACAATATTTACCAAATAAGACGAAAATGGTACTATTTATCAGGTTCAAAAAAATTTACAAAGTGAACAAGACCCTGGTCTGGCTATCCGATCCAATCGTCCTCCACCCGCCCTAACCCTGACCACACATTCACTCACACAAGCAGCCAGCCAGCCACCACTCACACGTGGTCTCCAGCCTTACACACCCATCCATCCGTCCCCCCTGCCCTGCCCTGCCCTGCCTTCCACCCTTTGTGTATGCAATGCAAGGTCTTGTTTAGATTGAAAAAAATTTCAATCCGATAAATAGTAGCACTTTCGTCTTATTTGGTAAATATTGTCTAATCGTGGACCAACTAAGCTCAAAAGATTCATCTCGTGATTTTCAACTAAACTGTGTAATTAGTTATTTTTTTTATCTACATTTAATGCTTCATACAAACAGCTAAAAATTGATGTGATAAAGAGAGAGTGAAAAAACTTAAAATTTTGAGGGTATCTAAACAATGCCCAAGCAAATCAAGGTCCCGGGCCGGCTCCTGCTAGGATCCCTATGGCAGCCACCACAGGAAAAGGAGGTGTCCTATTCCATCCCTGGTCTCCACTATCCGGGGAGCACCCTTTCCCTTTTCACTCCGTGCACAAACCAAACCAAAAGACAAATAGCACTATAGCAGGGCACGCACATTCAGTCTGTTCGTTTCAGCCAGGACTTATCAGTCACAACAAAACAGCACCAGCCGGACTTATCAGCCCAAAAATCAACCAGCAAAAAGGCTGATTACCACCGCTACTACTACGACTGCAAGGGTCTTATATTATTGTTGCACGTGCAAAGCTACATGTGTGTCATGTCACTACCAGGTTAGATATCGAGAAGGCTTTTGGATCAGCAGTTGGATTTGTTTAGATAGATACCCGTCAAGGAACCATGGATGGACCAGCCACAACACAGAGCATCAGCAGCAGGAACAAGATGCAGAGGATGAAAAAAGGGCGCTGGCGCTGGCTTGCCCATCAAGAGTTGAAGGACTCCACGCCTGCTGCTGCTGCTGCTGCTGTTCGTTACACTGTAGCTACCATGCACGTGTCGCCCCGAGGCGACAGCCAGCCGGTGTGCCCACAGACGCCTCGCCCAAAAAGGCCCCGATGCTCATCCCACCTGGTCCGCTCCGCTCCGCTCCGACGCCTCGTCACGGGACGGGAGATGGTCTCCAGATAGGGCAGAATCATTTCGTTTTTGTCAAACCACGCTCGCGAACAGCGGCCAGTGACCACGGCACGCACCTCGTGTAACAGGGGAAGCGGGGCTGCAGTGAGGACGACGGGTCACGGTCCATGGCGATCCCCAGCCAGGTTCCACGCCTCCAATCATCGCCGCGTCGGCGTCGAGCTGACCCGACGGACGCCAGGGGCGGTTCCGGCGAGTTGGCGGCTCACGGGCGGGGGGCGACAGCACGGAGAGAGCAGCTGCGGCGTCGCGGTCGCACGCCCAACCCATCAGGACGGGGACTGGTCACGACTCACACAGGCAGTTAATTTACACAACTGTTGCCCCGTTCGGCTGGGCTGACCAGCCCCCTCATATGGATACTATTTACATGAACCAACCAACGATATTTCTCTCTCACATAAACAAATCAACAACAATACGAACCAGCAAACCGAAGGGGCTGTGTTAAATCGCCGGCTCCGATTCGGTGCGCGGCGACAAAAGAAATGTGTGCCCGTTGACTGGTGAATGGTGATGTGATCACCGGTTGGAGTTGGAGGTTATATGATTACAATGTTCGGGTCCTGTCCATGTACTGCCCATATAAGAATACTACTACTACTGTGGGCTGAGGGAAAAAGAATATATTGCCCATGTAAGAAACACTGTGGGCTGGGAGGAAAAGAATATTGCATTGCATCAGCTAGGTCTTTCTTTGGGATCTCTCTCTCTCTCTCTCCTGTTGGCAGATGAATCTGTACAGAATGTTGTTGTATCTTTGGTAGGTGTCAGTGTGGCTTGAGAGATTCAAATGCCGAAATGTTAGAAGACTCAAACACGCCTGAAGCAGCAGAGTGTGTCCGCTCTGGAGACTGGAGTAGCCAACCAAAAACCACCTGCAGAAAATGCTCTTGTATCCTCAGTCACTCTCGTCTGTAGAACAGAACATAAGCAGCCGGGGTCTTTATACTGTCTTGGCTCATAGGAGTCACGCAGTCGTCATCGAACTTATACCACCCCTTCCCTTCCTCGTGCTACATAAAAGACCAAATGCGTCAGTAACCCACCTAATCAGCCAACCAACCTTGATCATCAATCAAGGAATCAAAATGAAATCAAAATAATCCAATGACTCGGCACGGACAACGATTCGACGGCAGCATACAACAGAGCAGAGGGACTCACATAGATGCTGGCGGTATAATGGCCCCCTCCCATGTTTCCGTAGTGGTTGCTAATAGCATACAGGCGATAATGGCTGCTTGGCTGCTTGCTCTTGTCCGCGATGTAGGATGACAGATCCAAATCGCTGGTGGGGAAGTCAACGAATGTCTCCAGCTTGTTTCTTGTGAACTGGGTGTAGGAGAACCTTTTGAGGTGGATCACCAGAACTTCGGGCAGCCTCCAGAGATCCAGTTTCTTCATCGCTTGTTGATGCTTCTTGCAGCACGGGCAATACCTGATAAACAAGCACAGAATAAAGTGGGACTCAATAATGAAACCAACAGTACACTATCAGTTTGGAATCGCTCACTAGGGTTCCACATTTGAGGAGATATTTTGCATCGGTACCACGCTTTTGGGAGATATTTTGAATGTGTAATGAGTTTAATGCTTGCAGTATTAGTGCAATAATAAAAAAAAAAAAGCGTACCCAGTGCAGAGAGCTCCCGCTCTGTGCCGGGTCTAGGGAAGGGTGTCAGTGACAAGCCTTACCCTCGCCTGTGCAATGCGAGGAGACCGCGACTCAAACCCGGGACCTTCCGGTCACAGGCGGTAAGACTCTACCGCTTGCACGAGGCCCGCCCTTCAGTATTAGTGCAACAATGATTTCGTTTTAGAAAAGAAGATTGTAAAGAAGGCTATTCTGCAAACAGTTAAGCAAAAAGCAACACACTTGTCCCGCAAGGTACACTTACCACATGTCCTCCGGCCCCAATGGTTCCTCTTTTAGAAAGGCTTCCAGACAACCATGTAGTGCAACAGAATCTTCAGTTCCTTTCGGGATAAGCTCAAGCTTGTGAATCTCGGGTAGAGTGTTCAGCATTGAGGTAGCATATTTTCTTGAAGCATTTTGTAGCCAGTGGACATTTATATGCAACCGGCTTGGTGCTGTCTCACGTAAATTGAGCTCATTAATTTCTATCTTCTGTTGCTGGCCATCACCCCTTTCACTTTTTAAATAAAATTCAAACTCCTCCATCTGTGCCTCCTTGTTAGAACCAGAACACCGATCATGTAAATCATCACGTTCTTTCATTATTTCACATTCACTAGCACTACAGTAGCTGCTTTCAGGACAGTCTTCCAATTGGCTGTTCTGACAATTATTACTGCCTGAATCAGGAGACGTTGCATCCATCAGATTGACGGAGTCACTATTAGACTCCATACAAAGATTAAGTGAACCAGCCCTGTTGGAAAGTCGAAATGGACTCAACAACTTGAGGTAGATATCCTGAAGAGATAATCCATTAATTGCCTCTGGAAGTGCTGCCAAAAGTGGGGCCTCAAACTCCCTCATTTGTGGAGTTAAATTATCATCACTAGAATGCCTGAATGAAATGACAGATAAACATAATGTTAATAGAATACATAAAGGTCAAGAAAGGCAAATTGCATCACTGTACACCAAATTTGGGTGTGCTTACTCATCAAAATGTTGATGTGTAAAAACCACAAGGGGGGATTTCTCATGTCTTTTGGGTAGACGGTATGCTGCCAGTTTATCTCCATCCCTCAGCAATGAAACTGAATCTGAAGGCTCCTCCAAGTATCGAATGATGCAGTTATTGTAGACCTGCATAGTCAGTTCCAGTAAGTGAAAGAGCAAAAGAACTTGTATTGCTTAAAATAGCTCTGAAAATTTGCAAAAAATCAGAAGGGGCAACGAGGAAAGGAAATCATACCTCCGTAACCAGCAGGATCTCATCATCTCCAAGTAAGCAGGCAATGCTTAAAGCCTGAACAAGATCACTCAGAGTCCCAAATTTTGGCACACTGACATCATATGAGCATGGCTCTCTGCTACCATCAGTGCTGAAAACTGTTACGGTCATTACCCTCTTTGCCGTGGAAGGTACAGGCAAAGATAAGTACATAAATGGGTCAAATGTGACTGATGTGTTACTGCAAGTAGGACAAGTTAATGTAGATTTGTATTGTCCCTGCAAAAGATAATCAGAAGAGTTTATTTAACAACATACACATAAAAGGATGAACATTGAACTATCACTGCATAAAATATATAGTTTCACCATGTGACAACAAAATAGCAAGGTGCATCCTCGTAGTGGCAAGTGGCAACAGATTACAGAAAATAAAATGGATAGCCAATGTCTCAATTCTCAATGAGGATGCTTCTATGTTTTCTCAAATAGGAAATATTAATATACTGTGGTTATGCACTCTCTTAATTGGTAAAAACTATAGATTGACTAAGTGTTTTAATCCCAACCCCTGATTGGTGTTTAGATCTGCAAAAATGTCTGTGCAATAGAATATGGTCACTTCCATCAGTATTTAATAAAAGGGCGTACCCAGTGCAGAGAGCTCCCGCTCTATGCGGGGTCTGGGGAAGGATGTTAGTGGTAAGCCTTACCCTCGCCTGTGCAATGCGAGGAGACCGCGACTCGAACCCGGGTCCTTCCGGTCACAGGCGGTAAGACACTACCGCTTGCACCAGGCCCGCCCTTCTTCCATCAGTATTTAATAAATGGCATATTTCTAGTTTGTGAGATCAATTGACAGATATGAGGTTACAAGCACGAAAGAACTACAAATATGTCACCATTTCAGGACGAGCGGATTTTAAAGAATAGGGGGTTTAAACTTACATGGCATGTATCAACTATAACAGAATCATTTCGAGCTAGATGGTTGCTCCAGTACTCATCTGCTACTTCTTCGTCAGGACGGCCACTTGCATCTTTTGCTTCTTCATACGGTTTACATTTAACCTGGTTAAGATCTTCATGAAGACCATCCAATAAAAAAGCAAGAAGCTCCTGTGAATCATGCTGATTAAAGCCACTGAACTGAGGAGCAAAACACGCAATTTTTTCCTTGAAATGATGAGGTGGAACGGGTTTTCTGTCAGTCCATAAGCTCCTCAACAGTTCTCCAAACGCCAAAGCAAGTTCACCCTAATTAATGGAAAAGTCAGCAAACAATTATCTGAATGTTTGCAGTATTTTTTTTTTTTTTGTTTTAACGAGAAAAATCTACATACATTCAATCCCAATGGATTAGTCCGGTTTATATTTTTGGCATAATCACCAAGGAAGTAATCAACAAGCTTTGGTGTGTGAGCCAAACATTGAATTGAACTGTTCATAAAGCAAGTATTTCCAAGATTCTCCAATCCTATTAACCCCATAGAACCAGCTCTTCCAAAGCTTCTGTAGGACGAATCAGAATTCATATCACCACCAATTTTGGATGTTAAGGAGTCAGACATTGCATAGACTTGCACTTCCAGAAGATTCTGCACGCACAAATGGAAAGGATAAGGAACTACATATGGCAAGAAAATATTAGGCCATGTATATAAGAAGATAAAAAACAGAAATTAATATCATCTCCAAATATTAAATTAATTCCAGTGAAATGAAATAAAAAATTAGTAGAGGGATCAAATGGAAAGGATAAGGAACTACCTCTTGATCTGCATGGCAGCAGTCATGTAGTCTATTCCATTCATTCATTAATATTAGGTTTGTCTGCCCTGAAAAATCCCAAACATGAACCTGGATAAAGAAACATTAAGTAAACAGCAGTAATGGAAGTGTATTTCCAAACTTGGAAATGTGAACAGCAACATACTGGTTGAGAATCAACATTAAAAATCTTGTTAGCCCGTTTGTAGTTCTCAACTGGATTGTCCTGAAGCAGAATTAAAGGCGTAAGTATTATCCATAGAAGGAATTAATTGAGCCACAAATTGCCTGTCAAGTATGGTACCTTTTTGCTGATCTTCAGTGTCAATATACTTGTTTCTCGGACAGAAATCCTAAGCACCAAAGGATAAGCACCAGCACTATCCCCAGCAAACGAATGCTTATTTTGTAAACCCAAACCAGAGTTTTGCCTGGCAAAAAACAATACAAAGCATTTGTGAAACACAACTGTGAGCCTAAGATGCAAAGGGCCAAGGTACAAGCCTTGATCAAATATCTGGAGAGCATTATGTTATATAAGTTATGGAGTAATAGAGCTAATTTCTATGGAGCTGAATGTCACTGGAGAGGAAACAGATTTCAAGTCAGACACAGTGAAGAAAATATTTGACTCCACAAATGAGGGTATAGTGGTATACTCATTTGTGGATACTCAAGGGTGCTTCCAACTTATCAAATAAACAGATAATGAGAATATGAGATAATCTATGTGTTGAACCCAACCAATGCTCCTATTCACAAAGCAGGACAAACCTACAATTAAATGAAAAATGCAGACCAGATAGGCATACATGTTGCGGTGAAAACCAGTGTGAAAATGTATTCTGTGTGAGGATACAAAGCGATGGGCACCCTTGGATTATAGTTTCTGATGTTTGATGTTTTTTATGCGACCACATAGTGAGACGGTAGAGGTAAAATTGAGAAGATCAAGGAACATGAAGCAGGACATACAATTTCATTCATGACTTTGCTTACACAAATACTGCAGCAGATCTGCAGCCTGTCTAGGAACAACAATCTGATCAAAAGTAACACAGCAGAAATCTAAGTGCATGCCTTTCATGTGCACCATATATCATGCCGCATGCGAAACACGCAAGGTTTTGAAAATTAATTTTGCTAGGCCAATAACTACATGCCTTAACTACCAGCGGTATGCCGTGCTTGAGCATTCTGGATAGAAGCAATGGTCCTGTTTTAGTTTAGCATCAACACAACGGTCGTCATGCATGGAACTCCAGCAAAGCTAGCAACAGCAGGACACGTGTCCAAAATACACACAACACGCCAAGTTAGCAACTAATAAAGGAGTTGCTCCGACACACACGCCATCGTCTCTTTGGCAAGTTGGTATCACCTTGCTCCCTTGGAGGATGACAGGGTTCCCATGAGCAAATGCTGAATGCTCGTGCGTTAGATCTGACCGGTGTTGCACAGGGGTGGATAACGAGCCAGCTGCACTTTTTTCGAGCTTTCTTCAAAATTGGCATAATCTTATTTATCATAGTCTCCTGAATTGTATGAGACCCAACTTCAAACGGAGCTTAACGAGCCGAGCCTAACAAGCTGAGCCGAAGTCAAAAGTCAATCAAAATCAAGTCACTTTCATTTTAAAAGAAAAACAAGTTCAATAACTACATGCCTTAACTACCAACGGTATGCTGTGCTTGAGCATTCTGGATAGAAGCAACGGTCCTGTTTTAGTTTGGCATCAACACAACGGTTGTCGTGCATGGAACTCTGCCAAAGCTTGCAACGGCAGGACACGTGTCCACAATACACACACCACGCCAAGTTAGCAACTAATAAAGGAGTTGCTCCGACACACACGCCGTCATCTCTCTGGCAAGTTGGCATCACCTTGCCCCACTGGAGGATGACAGGGTTCCCATGAACAATGCTGAACACTCATGCCTTAGATCTGATCGGTGTTGCACAGGGGTGGATAACGAGCTAGCTGCACTTTTTTTCGAGCTTTCTTCGAAATTGGCATAAGCTTATTTATCATAGTCTCCATAATTGTTTGGGACCCAACTTCAAACCAAGCTTAACGAGCCGAGCCTAACAAGCTGAGCTAAAGTCGAAAGTCAATCAAAATCAAGTCATTTTCATTTTGAAAGAAAAACAAGTTCAACAACTACATGCCTTAACTACCGACGGTATGCTATGCTTGAGCATTATGGAGAGAAGCAATGGTCCTGTTTTAGTTTGGCATCAACACAGCCCACGCCGTGCATGGAACTCTGGCAAAACTAGCAACGGCAGGACACGTGTCGAAAATACACACAACACGCCAAGTTAGCATCTAATAAAGGAATTGCTCCGACACACACGCCCTTGCCTCCCTGGCAAGGTGGCATCACCTTGCACCCCCTAGAGGATGACAGGGTTCCCATGAGCAATGCTGAACACTCGTGCCTTAGATCTGATCGGTGATGCAGGCCAAGACTGGACTTGGGGAAGTGCATTCGAGCTAAGACATTGCTAGAGACACGTGTGAACACTGAAACCTTAAGGCCTGATTGATCGCAACTCAAAATGGTGTCAGGACGAGATCCACTTGCCGCTACAATCACTATGTTGTACAACTACAGCTGAATCTACTATATCAATCATTGTCTGGTTCAGTACGATGCAACCTAAATGGTTCAAGCTGCTCCATCACGCTGCTACGGATGGGCAGCTGTTGGGCTGATCACTGGTGCATCAAAATCTCCGACCCCCTAAACACCGCAGGCACAGAGGAAGCTGCGGAGGAGCTCACCTGGCGAGCGCCCTAGAGAGCTCGTCGGCCGGGACGAGCGCGTAGCTGCGGCCGCCTCCGCCTCCGTCCCCGCCACCGGCGCGGCACTCCCCGCGCTCGAGGCGCAGGACGAGATCCGGGTGCAGGAAGCTGTGGAGCAGCCTGAGGCCGTAGTAGGAGGGCGACGCGGCGGCGGTGGCGGCGTACTGCACCCCGCCCGCCGCCTCCTCCTCCCGCACCCGCGCCCACCACCTGCACGGCCACCGCACCGCATTGTCAAATCAGACACGGCGGCTCCCAGCGAGCGAGCGACTGGGAGGGGGAAGGGAAGGTACCTGAACGGGACGAGGCAGACGGCGACGGGGGAGGAGGAGGCGGCGGCGAGGGCGTCGCGGCCGGAGGTGGAGGCGGAGGCCGGGTGTGAGGCGGTGGCGGCGGTGGCCATGGGCGGCCGCCGCGCGCGGGATGGGATCTGAGGTCGAGGAGAGGTGGATGGGTGGCGCACGCGAGTGAGCTGTCGCCGGGTCCTCCCGCGGGGCGAGCCGCTTGTCGCTTTTGTTTTTGTTCTGGCCTGGGAGGACGCGGCGGAATTCCTTACGCCCCTCGGATTTGTAAAAGGCACGCCGCCGCGGTGGCGCTGTGGAGGAGATGAGAGGAAGATGCCCAGGCCCAGACGGGGGGAATGTGTGAGGTGAGAGGGACTGCTGCGCCTCGCCAACGGTTGCTTCCTGACTGCTTCGGTTGCTTCCTTGTCTACGGGGGTGTTAGTTTAAGAGGTTTTCCGATATTGATAATAAAACTAATTACAGAAACCGTAACTAATTCGTGAGACGAATTTATTAAGTATAATTAATCCATCATTAGCACATGTACTGTAGCACTATATTATCAAATTATGAACTAATTAAGCTTAATAGATTCATCTCATAAATTAGTCTCATTCTGTATAATTAGTTTTATAATTAGTCTATGTTTAATACTTCAAATAGTATAAACATATTTACTGTAGTCCATATGTCAGAGACTAAATTTTAGGAGACGTAAAGCAACTAAATTTTAGGAGACGTAAAGCAACTAAAGCAACTAAATTTTAGGAGCCGTAAAGCAACTAAGGCCCCGTTTAGTTCCCCCAAGATTTTTTGCTGAAGAAGTGTCACGTCTCTTGCATGTTAATTGCATAGTTTGGTGAGAAATCGCGAGATAAAACTTTCGAACATAATTAGTCCATAATTAGACACTAATTACCAAATACAAACAAAAGTGCTACAGTACCCAAAACCCAAAAATTTTCGGACCTAAACGCACCCTAAATTTTAGGAGACGTAAAGCAAACACTTCCTAAGCTTCGCTTTGCCCGTACTTGCCTAGCCAGCAGCTGACTGGCCGTTGACCGCCTGACAGAGAGCAAAAGGTTTAAAGAAAATTTTTCAGACTTTTTTTAGGTGTCCATATGCGCACAAGGACAAGAATGATGTACCCCGCTACCGTTGGAGATAAAAAGTTGATGTCATGTATAGTCGCTGTTACGCTTTATTAGTGATGTGACTAACACCGTAGCTGGCGATGCCTCCCTAGTTTTCATATAGCTGCCAATGTTGCACATCCCATAGTCCATAGTCGACGGTGACATGTTTCCTTTACTCTATCGGTTTTCATCTACCATGTTGGAGGTAGAGGGAAGCCTTAGTTCTTCTATATCATAGCTCATCTATACTCTATCTATAGATGTGGTAGCCGTAGGTTGCATACTCTTTTGTCTTGATATTGAAATGGAGACGTCTGGTTTAATTATAGAGGATGAAAGGACCGATCTAGTTAAGGTCATATTTTAGTTTAATTATAAAAGAGGGATTCATGAAAGGACCCCTAAAAAGTGTAGTCTAGATTAAGGTCATATTTGAGTGGTCCAGATGTACTCCGTCTTTGCAAGCGGTGATGTCTCTGCTGCAATTGTGGGAAAAATTTTGAACATTTAAACTTACTTTTTGTATGGTTAGTAGCTTCACTCTTACTCTTCACACAAAATGATGTTTTTTTGGCTATATGGTAGTGCCACGCTTACTCTATGCCTCTATCATGTTTTGGATTCGTCATTACTCTTTAAATTTGGTGTTAGATTTCATACTTAATCACTCTTGGCCTTGGGTTCCATGCCATCTCGACGCCCACACGCACCAAGCTCCATAGAAGGTAGCGCGTGTGAACCATCTTTGGTGCCTTGAGATCTTGGAGTCTCACATAAATTAACATATGAACCATCGTGCTTTACTTGTGCAAAGTTGTCATAATACGATTAGACATTGAATAGAATGTTTTGAATTTTTTTCTATTTTTATGTACAATTTTCTCATTTTTCTAGAGCCAAGTCTAATTGTAAAAGCTTCTAGGGCCATGTTTAGTTCCCCCAATTTCCAAACTTTGGCACTATGCAAAAAGAAGATTTCTCATCACATCAAACTTGCGGTACATGCATGGAGTACTAAATGTTGACGAAATCAAAAACTAATTGCACAGTTTTGTTGTACTTTGTGAGACGAACGTTTTGAGCCTAATTAGTCAACGATTGGACAATTATTATCAAATAAAAACAAAACGGTACTGTAGCTAAAGTGTCGCTGCAGTGTTTCAGGCGGCGTAGAGTCGGGCGAACTAAACGCGGCCTAGAAATAATTTCACGAGCTCTACGTTATCGTATGCCAACCTATTTCTAATTCTTTTTCTTCGTTTAGGATCTTTATACGAACCTAGAGATATTTTTCGTAATCTAAAACCTTATTAGGTTCCTGCCATATTTTTCCAATTAAAAAAAATATCATAAGCACTTTAAAATAAATTTTTACCGTTGGAAAAGAGGCAATTTAACGGTCTCTGAGCTCTCTCCGTCTGCTTCCCTTTGGCTTTCTTTCTGCCTTTCTCATCAGTCAGTCAGCTATGACGAACACCAACACCAAGGCTTGTGCGTGTTCCGCTGTCATTGTCCCCCCACGAAATTGAGTAGAGAACACAAGAGAAGAGATCAGCGATGGGCGATGGCGATGGCGATGGCGACGGTTCCGATGCGGATGCAACACCGCACGTGAAGGATGCCATGTTCACGCAGCAGTCACCTCGCGTGTGTTGTTATTGCAGTGTCTGGTCGAAAAGGATCAGATACGGCTCTGTACTTGATAAATCCACAACGATTGGTTCATATATCATCATTATCATAGGTACGGTTTCCTATTTACTATTTTCTTTAATTTTTTATTTAATTTAATTGAACTTATTGTGGCGCGGAACCTACTTACATGATTAGGACTTGGGAGGAATGGTGGGTTCAGTGCATCATTTCATTTCTTCATCAGCAAACGCAGATCTCGAGTGACCTGACGCCGGCGTAATGATGCAAAAGGTTGCTGAAACAGTAGCCCGCCAGCCTCCTTTTGGATCCGAAACACTGATGCGAAGCGTGAAAGGGTGCGCTGTTGCAGGCTCGCTTGCCTGCTCCAGGAACACACGCACAAAGCTGTGGGTTTTTTTTTTCATTCAGAAATATAATACAAGTGCGGTGTGGGGAACGCAAACATTTTCAAATGCCCAGGAAAATGATGAGAACAGAATCCCATCCCCCACGTAGAGCATCCTGAAATTCGAAGCCCCTTTGTCCTTTGAAATGTGGGATTTTTTTTTCCTTTCCAGAATCATGTCTTGTTGGTCCTGTGAAACTTGGAGTTTGCAATTTGAGCCCCACCACTCGACGCGATTTCATTTCATTCTCGAAAATCTTTGCTTCATGTCAGCGTCGTACTGTCGTACCAGCACCAGCAGCGTCAATCACCAATCCACCAAACTATCAGGAAACCTGTTCCGATTGATTTGATTGATAGATAGGTACATGGATGGAAGCATGGATTTTGACGTGGACGTGTCCAAGCGGTCCCGTTTGATCAAATTTACAGCTATTTTCATTTATGACTCTAAATTAATTTATTGAAAAGATTAATCTAATAGGATGTATTTGATATCATAAATATTAATATTTTTTATATATAATCAATTATACTTGAGATACTAAACTATTGCGCTTTGCTAGAATCCCATGTTTTTCCTGGGTGGAGGGAGTAGCGTATATATACACCACACACATTGCTCCAAGTCCAACATGGACTGTACATACATTGTACATGACAAACCAACCACTCAAGCACATCGATCGACGAGTAGCAGACTAGCAGTAGAGAACTAACGCAAGGAGAAGGAGAGCAATCGTAGTAATTAATCAAGTATAATCACTGATTACAAGTGGAGGAGACGAAGGTGATTCATTGGGTCGATGATGCGCTCAGCCGCCGCCGCCTACAAGCAGAGCGGGCACATGACGAGGCCGTTCTCGTTGCACCCTTGGCACCGCCCGCCGTCGAACACCTTGCGGCTGCCGTCGCACTCGCCGCACACCACGAACCTGAGCCCCCCGCACGCATCGCAACCGCGCTTGCCTCCGGCGCCGGGGAGCCTCGTCTCGCCGCCCGCGCACGGCGATGGCACCGGCAGCAGCGGGAGGAGGCGGCCCTCCTCGTGGAGCGCGAGCACCTGGGCGGCGCCGCCGACGTCGCGGCCGCGCACGAAGAGGCGCGGCGGGACGGCGCCCTCTCCCCGGTCAGGGACCACAGCTGGTCCCGGAGGCCGCGGTCCATGGACACGTCCCGCTCCTGGAACGGCGCGCCCAGGTTCTCCAGAAGCGCGCGCAGGACGTTGCAGTCCTCGAACGTGCGCCGCACGCCGCGGAGCGTCGTCGTGTACAGCACCACCACGGACTCCCCGCCCGGCGGGCACCGCGCGGGGAACCCCAGCAGCGGGTCGGGTTCGGGTAGCGCTGGCGCGGGCGACGCGCGGCCCCCGCCGTCCTGGTCGTCCACCAGCTCCCACGCGTCCAGCGGCTCCGCGGCCGAGGGCCGCCGGCGGTGGTGGGATTTGGTGGGCGTCTCCGGCTCCCGCGCGTCGAAGAAGGACGCGTCGTCGGACAGGGCGTCGCCGCCGCCGTGGTACTGGTGGGCGGCGGGCTTCGTCGGGGACGGCGGCGGGGAGCCCGCCGCGCGCGTCGGGCCCGGCCGCCTTGAGCGCGCGCAGGATGCGCGCCTTGAGGGTCTTGATGATCATGGCGCCTGGGCGGAATGGACTCTGTCGGTCGGCGCTGGGCCGCCGGCTTGGCTGGTGATGGGGTAGAGACTTGAGACCTCGACTGGATCGCTCGCGTCGCGGCTGGCGCTTTCTTGTCTCGCTTTGCCTCTCTCTGGATGCGTGTGGTTTTGGCGATGGTGGTGGTGGGGAAAGTGGGGAGGGGGAGGTGGGGGAGGAAGAAGAGGTGGTGGAGCCGTGGAGGCAGGCCTCGCGACCCCGCCTTTTAACCGCTTCGCACCGTGCCGTTGAAAGGTCGTTCACGGTCGGTGCCATGGCAGGAAACGGAAGCACCAACATTTTGTTAAAAACGGTTCACGAACAACGAAGCCATTTCAAGAGTTAATTAACAGTGACATGGAAAATTCTAATTTGTGTGCTCTGGCTTGAAGAAGTCTGACAGAGCGTCTCCTTCGTAATATGTATTCTTTCTCGAAATTTTTAGTGCGCGCATACAGCTGTTCGAGGAGAAGGCTATGGATATTGGGATATAGACACATTCACATGCGACGTTTTCTAACAAAGTTTAGTCACATCGTTATGATACGACGACTTGTTAATGTATAGTATTATACACGTGGACGAATTTTATATTAATATATGGCCTCAGGCTTACAACGATGCAAAAATGGAGTACCACTTCAGTTCCTGTTTTTACCTCTTAAAATTCTATGTACCCAGCAGAAATAAGGCCCCGTTTAGATAAAAATTCTATGTTTTGGCCAGCATTTTCGTTTGTATAATTAAAATTATATTTTGAGTTTTCAGTTGCACTATTAGTTTTTTTTAAATCCACCATACTGGATGACAATTTTGAGTTTTCAGTTGCAATTGATGACAATTCAATTGAATTAACCTACTCATCCTTACCATACTGAGAGTCAGGTACAACTGCAATTCTGAGCTGTCCATGTCCAGATTTTCCATATGGCCCGTGGCTATAGTGTAGCACTGCAACCAATCAAGCAGGTATAGTCGATGGCAAGCGTACACACAAACCGGCTTCAGCGTCTAAACATAGATCCCATCAAGCGCGCAGACTTTCATTACATGATGTTATCAGGCTGTTTTATTGTGATGTTCAACTGTGGATAAAAACGTCTTAGTTGAACACAAGACGGTTCCGAAAGACACCCACAAAGCGTACATGCATGGACCTCGACACTGGGAGTTATAGGATACAGAGTGGTTTACATAATTACATCATCCATGGGCTACTTCTGGTGATCAGCTGAGATGCATTCAGCTGGAGGCGACGAACCCAATGCTGAACCCGAACAAGATGCAGCTCAGTTCCTCATTGTCGTCCCCAACTATCTTCATGTAGATCGTGTAAGAGCCCTGCAACGGAGCAGAATCTCAAAATGCATCAGTGCATGAACAAAGTCGACTAATACTAATTCGATTCGACATATCAGAGGTATCAGGTATGCTATTTGTCAGGTCCTAAGAAAATGCAACAAAGGAAGAAGACATATATATCTGGGATTTCCCAAACAGAATTAAATGTGTGATGCTGGCTGTGCAGAAATCTCACCGGTGGAGTGAATCCCGGTAATGTCTGCTCATGAGACAGCACGAAGTCGCCAGTTGCTGGACAGGAAGTCTCTCCACAGATGTCGCGCGTTTCCGAGTGCACGTAGAAGAAGAAATATTTAACATCGATTTGCAGCTTCCCCTTCTCAATGGTTTTATCTGGAAATTCAACCATGATCTTTCTGTGAGGATATAAAAGGAATGAGTTTGGCACTCAAAAAACTATAAGATCCCATTCCCATCATAACATGATCTGATACTCATATGATAACTTAGATCACTAATAAAACGCATGCAAACAGTGGTCTTTTTATAAATAATAAGATTGATCAAACAAGGTTCATGAATTTCTTGCACACCACACTGCAGCTACGCCACATGCAAATAATTGATGCAGGTGTCTGACTTGCCACAGGGCTCACATATGTGACATGTTCAACTATTTTAAAATACTCTTGAGAACTAAATAAATCAGGTACAGTTGGTATCAGGGAGACCGAATACTTTTCCAGTTCCAAAATTTGGATGATTCACTGGGTACATGACTAAATATTCTGCATATGCCAGTATGGTGGCACTTACCATACCACGGACGGAATATTACTATGGTGCCGCTAGAGGACAAATTACTCTGCGATCTTTATTACTACACTCCGAAAACTCAGTCAGTCATACCATAACTTGCCATGTGAAGGGCAGGACACGAAACACGAAGATGACTCAATTAGGTGGATCCATCGTATTATATTTTACTTTTTCAGAACTGGGTAAAAGATGCTACTTCTTAGGTGCAATCAGTGACTAATTTTGCTTTATCCTGTTGCTCCTTCATAGAAAGAAATTCCACAGTTCTGTTGAAAACAAGTTTGCTGAACAGAAGCTAAAAAGATTCAACAGAGGAATTGAAGGGGCACAAAACTACCAACTATATGAACCACAAAACAGAGAACGTCAAAACATCGTATGCCATATTAAGATAATGTTACACATGCCCGAATTATTCTCAACAATGTTCCAGGCAGCACTAGCAACCTATTATTTCTCAAAGCCAAGTGGCAGGACAAAGTTTTCTTCCCTGTTGTAGCCTTGCAGGTTTAATGTGATGCCTGGATACATCAAAGCAAACAACCTTACTACTCTCTCCGTTCCAAATTATAAGTCGCTTTGACTTTCTTGGTACATCCATTTTGCTATGCATCTAGATATAATAATATGTCTAGATACATAACTAAATGGATGAACCAAAATAGTCAAAGCGACTTATAATTTGGAACGGAGGGAGTACTTCACAAGGATGTATAGTTTTATACCATCCTGGCCTGTAGTGGTTCACTATGGTACCAAAAGATATCATAACAAGCAATCCTACACTTCAGAAATATTTTGGGTGATGGTGTCATGCAAAGGACTATTTAAGTATAGTTGAGTACATGACTGGATGAGACTTTGAACTATCAGACTTTGAGTACTCTGCGATCTTTATTACTACATTCCGAAAAATCAGTCAGTCATACCATAACTTGCCATGTGAAGGGCAGGACACGAAACACGAAGATGACTCAATTAGGTGGATCCTTCATATTATATTTTACTTTTTCAAAACTGGGTTAAAGATGCTACTTCTTAGGTGCAACCAGTGACTAAGTTGCTTTATCCTGTTGCTCCTTCATAGAAATTCCACAGTTCTGTTCAAAAGCAGTTTGCTGAACAGAAGCTAAACAGATTCAACAGAGGAACTGAAGGGGCACAAAAACTACCAACTATATGAACCACTAAACAGAGAACGTCAAAACATTATATGCCATATTAAGATAAAGTTATACATGGTTTAATTATTCTCAATAATGTTCCGGGCAGCATAAGCAACCTATTATTTCTCAAAGCCAAGTGACAAAGTCTTCTTCCCTGTTGTAGCCTTGCAGGCTTAATGTGATGCCTGGACACATTAAAGCAAGCAACCTTACTACTTCACAAGGATTTATACCATCCTGGCCTGTAGTGGTTCACTATGGTACCAAAAGATATCATACCAGCAATCCTACAACTTCAGAAATTTTTTCGTGATGGTGTCACGTAAAGGACTATTTTAAGTATAGTTGAGTACATGACTGGAATTAATAGCAAAAAGCTATATGCAGACTTGCAGAGACTTTGAACTATCAGATGTAGTCTTAAGAGAACTGTAGCTGTAGCCACTCACGCTTTTGAGTCTGCTAATACCCCACTAAGACTCAACAGTATTCCAGCATGGTCAGCATAACATGGAACCTTCCCATATCCATACGGTGTCACTCGGGGACACATTTGCAGAGTCACAAACAAGAACTAAAAAGGTGTTGCTAAGAACCCCAAGTATTGGCTAAAAGTACACAAGGGCATGCAGAAACCAAACCGAGAATAGCACTGCCCATGCACAAGAAAAAACTGTGTCCAGCTGCACACCAGCAATATCCAAGGTAGTACTACAGCTCCAAAGTTGAATACGAGCGAAATTCAATTGAACTTAGTACTACTATGATTTTACGAAGTTCATCACCAATTGCTGATTTCTTTCGTAGTCCCAAGTACTACAATAAATTCAATGAACAAAGTCTTCAACTACTCCTGCAACCGAATAACACCTCAAAAAATTCCCCAAAGAAACATGCAGCCTGTTCGCTTGTTGGTTTCAGCCAGCCCAAACCAGGCAGCCAACAGTGTTTTCCTCTCACAGTAAACCAGCACCAGCCAACCTAAACCAGCCCAGAAACCAATCAGCGAACAGGCCGATGGTAATTTGTCAGCAGTACAATAAGGATAAATAAAACAGGAAAAATCCCAATCCCCAGTAGCACAGGACATTTTGCACAGGAAATTACACCCAGCAACAGCACCCAAAGGTACTAGTACCCCTACAAACTTAAATAATCTAGGAAAACTCCAACTAAATTCAGTCCTGCGCCAAACTTTTTTTTGATTGGTAATTACTAAATCCCTTCCTAGTCCTAGGTACGTATGCCAAATTCATCGCGGAAATAATACCCAACTACTACTTAGTACTCCTACAGCAGTAAGTAACATCATCAACCATGGAGCATAAAGACGAAGGGGATGCAGCTAAGTCAACTATACCAGTAGAAGCGGAGATCTTGAAAGTGGCGGGCTTGCCGGGCTCGACCGGATCGGGCACGATCTGCACCCCGCTCACCTTCACCGGGTAGTCCTTTTTACCTGCAGGCCACGCCAAGAACAGATTGCAGTTATTACAGCTCTGCGAAACCTCGCGAAATCTGCAGCTCCGCTCCCAAGGACCCAGACGGAGCGGGGGGCGCGGAGGCGGGGATACTCACTGCAGTAGTCGACGTCGGTGGCGACCGAGGCGGCGGGGAGGAGGAGCAGGCATGCGGCGACGGCGGCGGGGAGGAGGACGAGGCGGGTCTGCTTGCTCGCCATGGCGACGGCTGGCT